AGTTGGTAATCTCGATTTTGAACAATCAGAATGGTTGTTTAGTGTTTTCTTTTTTCGACTACTGAACACTGAGCACCTTTTATCAAACAAATATGTAAAAGGAATCTTAGACGGATCGGACATATGTTGATGAGAGCGTTGAGTGGAGTCAAGCTCACAGAGGCTTCTAGTGAAAACCTGAATGGGATGAGTTGGGTATAGCTCTGAGGGTGACACGAAGAAGATCGTGTGAGACGGGAACGAAAGCCAATGGATGATCGTGGATCCGGCTGAAGAGGGTTGTAGATAGCAGGATGAAACAGAAGGGAATAATTATTATAGCAGCTCCCTGCATGAAAAAACTGTTAATTATCGAACAATACTTACATAAGCATAAAGGGAAGTCTTATCTTAAGGCGTATACAAGCACTAGACGAGAGTTCTGTTAACCAACTTCTTGTTATTCAATAACAGACGTCAATTATATTGAATATTTTTGGGAAAAAGAAAAAAAGGAAAATAAACCACAGGAAGTCTACGCCTGCCACTTATCCTCAATGCATATCAAGCAAAACAACATTATTAGTTGCCAAATCCACGAGGTTAGGGGATTTTAAGACTCAACAGGGAAGGCTTTCATCTAGCACATGCACAGACGGAGGCGTACATCCAGATTTTGCCTCATAGTCAACATCATCATCGGCCTATGAATAACACACCTCTAAGTGTGCGTGTGTGTATGTATGTGTTTGCTTTCATTCGCTCGTCTTCGGTTAACAAAAATGTTTGAATACGCATACAATATTTTTATTAATTTACTGTCTCCTAGTTTGTATGCACACTTTAATTGGATACTTAAGTAACAGACAACCTGGTGGTGATATCCTGCTGCTTTGTTTGTTTGTTTTTGAAAATACACAAATGGAACACTGGATTTTTGTAAGTCGGTTAGTTAGTTGTGGGATTTAGAAACACTCTGAATTCTATACCGATTCAGCACCAAACAGAACAACTGCTCTGATCTCTCTACTTTTCTCTTTCTCTTAATACGCCCTCCCTCCCCCTCTCCTTACGTACAATCATTGTCTTTTAATCCTTGTAAAAGAATAGTAGGCCAGTTAGTTGGTTTATGTGATCAAGGTACCATATATGAAACCTTCAATACTCTGCATTTAAGTTATATAGTCACTAAGTGACTTATTTACATATACAATTAGTAAACACCACTAGTCATAGTACTGTGAAAGAAAAACAGTCTAGAGTGAGGTTCTGTCGACAGTAATATCTAGCATGACAGTTAGACGTTAGGTAAAAGTTGCAGCTAATAACCATGTTCTCTCTCTCTCTCTCTATATATATATATATATATATATATATATTCATGCCGGTGCCTTCATAGAGAATTACAAAATACTTCACACTGAAGTAAAATCTGAAGATATTGTTTATAAGAACGGTGAAATCTCGGCAGTTAAATTAACCAGCTTAGGAAACACAACCCCGCCAAAAACGTCTATCTGAGCTACAAATCTTTCTCACTATTTCTGTCACGGTTAGATATTTGGGTATGTTTTAATAAAATCCAGTTACTTGCTGCAAAGTATTTTCGCTATATCCACCCCCTTTTTAAACATAAGATGACGGTAAATGAGCGTATTTTAGCTTTTCGTCCGTTTGTATCATTTTTAGAGCCAGCGAGATATCGGAGTACTCACCAGATGAGCCATTTTGTGTACCATGTATCGATAGTCCCCTTATCGCATAATGTCTGAAGAATGACCTAGAAGTTAATTACTCTACAGCCCCACACTTATGTGAGAACTAGGGATGCTATCTGACTGTCTAAATCCTCTGTAAGTGGAGTGGGTTTCGAACTTGTGACTCAATGGTGGTTGGAAGTCGATTGCCTACATCAATGAACTACAACTGAATGTTGATATAGAGATAATATAGATTTCTGATGTGCTTTTTCTTCAGTTATTGAAGTTATATGGAATAGCATGACAATAGGTTGTATATATATATATATATATATATATATAGTGTGTGTGTGTGTGTGTGTGTGTTGGAGTTCCGTCCCTAAATCTGGTCTCATGTATTGTTTAAGCATAATGAAAACACCATTATATTTAACCTCTTACTATATGTTAATTAATTTGACTTGTAATTTGATTGAAAAAGCCAACGCCGTCATACTAAGCATATTTAGTCAGAATTAGTTGATATTATGAGATTAACATATTCACACAATCACTCTTATCATTACTTTCACTTGTCTCATCATCTAATCAAAACGTGTTTATATCGCCTTATAATATTATTATTACAATGATTTGTAATTTGCTTTTTCTCTTGATTAGTCAATGATAATTTTGTCTTTATAATCTTTTAAATAAGTATGAACTAAGATCTTATAAACTGTGAAAGTTAATCTGTATTGTGCGTTCATAATTAAAGTTGGTATTCTACTTTTCACTTAGCGTAGATATGACTAATTTATCACGTACCTGTGAACATGTGTGTCAATGATTTAAACACCCCATTTTTAAAATGTAGTTCATTAGCCTAAGTAGCTTAACTTTCAACCTATAGGACCCAAGTTCAACACCCAAACTACCTATTCAAACCTAGACAACTGGGTAGCATCATCAATTTTCTCGCGATAAGAGAGAGTAAAGCACACCCTAATAATAAGTGAACTAATCTGATCTGGGTAATGGAATTCCGACTAGCTAACTGGAGGTGGGGAGGGATCCTAGTAACACTGAGGGATATACACTTTTGCAGAGCCTAAAAATAAACCGAAACAGCTCTTTAGTACTGTATACTTCTCAATAGTGCTCTAACTAAATGGTGTTTCGTGACTGAATTCACTTTAAAATAGCTAATATTCGAGTGTATGGAATACTTGTTGCTAGTGTAATGATAGTGTCACTTATTTTAAGTAAGTGTCACATACACTTTAACTCTAAGCAGTATATAGTAAATATACATTCGACTACGTTTTTAAAATATGTGAATTTATCCTGAGCGGAGTATCAACATATACGCTAATTAGCGCAGTAATAATTGTTTATTTATTGTGTTCTCCTTGCAATGAAGATGTGGTTCAGACAGCTTGTAACGGGTTCAAATCCTTCTCCAGCTACTCTAGCCTGGATAACTGGGTTAGTGGTATCTCGTCAGCTCTTACCGACTAAGTGTGACTCATAGCCTAGTGTATGCAAAATATGTTCAGTGTAACTGATTTCTGGTATTTAACATCTGTTTGGAATGTGAATTTACTCGTCATACGTCTCTTATTATTATTATCATCATCACTATTATTATTCAAAGTAAAGCATTGTTGAAGGCTGTGTAGTATAGTACTTCGGTAAAACTGTATGCCTAATCTCATTTTATGAGTTTATCGATTATATTCATCTTCAGTGTATCTCTCCTCTTCCCCATTTATTTCATCTTATTATGTTGGCTGGAAGTTGGAATAACCAGTATCACCTTTATGTGTGTGTGTGTGTGACAGCATCATATTAGTGTTTCAGTTTAACAAGTTATTAGAGTTTGCATTTGACTCTTAATAATGTGATGTATGCTTTCAACTTTTTTTATATCAAGCGATTTAAAAAAAACAACAGCCTCTTTGTTGCTTCTGTTTAATTGTCATGTTCACGTCAACGGTGCGCTTTTAATGCTTCTGAATTAAACTTCATATTATTCCAAAGCTAGTCTAGTATTTATTATTATTATTGCTTTTAATGTTACAAAAAGTTTTGTCTAATAAATCATTTTCCCGTGTTAAACAGTGTTTTCGTGTAGTGTTCACTTTCCCGTATGTAGAAATTATTATTCCTTTTAATTCTTGTTATCTACATTATTGGTGTAGTGTAATTAATAACAGTTATGCAGTATAAAGTTGGCGCATTTAGGTACGAAAGTTAGTGGGAGAAAGTTGCACAAATAACAAAGTGGAAATAGAGGAGTAGTTAGCCTAGTTGAAACAAAAACCTTCACTGTTGCATCGTTTATTATTTAATTCTGTTTCTTTTGCGTTCTGACTGCGATGTAGGCCTCCAGACTTGAGCTCTGAAGTGTCAGCACCGATGTTTTTATATGGTGAGAGATCGCTGGCCTCACTCTGGGAAAATTGAACTGTTAGACACTTGAGGAACTGGTGAGCATTATACCATAGGATCGTTTACATTATCTGAGGCAACTGGTATATGTAAAACATATTGTCAAACGAATGAGGTGTTTTAAGCGTTTTCGAGATGCATTCATTGTGATGTACAGTTTATATCGTAAACACTGAACTGTTCAACCTTTTCCTTCGCTGTCTATCTGTCTCGCCTGCGAGTTTAATTCTAATGAGGGTCACACTAACTATTTATTCACTTCCCTGGTAGATTTTATTGCTTTTTTTTATGTCCAAGTTTTCTGACTTTTCTTAATGACCGAATTTCTACATTTTATTATAAAATATTCTAAATGTATTTTAAGAAACATTTCACTCTCTGTATTAGTATGCCATTGATCCTCAGCTTCCAAGTATCACATTTTCACAATAGAAAAAAAGTGGATGAGAAATATAAACAAACATGATCCTTTTTTTCTCTTCTCTCTTTTTATATTTTATCGTGTGAACTTTCCATCAGATGGTGTTCTGCACTTGTGCTATCTCTTTCTCGCACTTGACCTTGAACTTATAAACCGCTTGCTGTGTTGCTGCTTCTCTTTTTTTATTGTTTCGTTTATTTTTCCAAAAATTCAATTATATGTATACAAGCTATGTAAAAGCGTGTGGTGAAACGAAATATTAGCATTACACTTTTCACTGAATACCATTACACTCTAACAGTACTTAATCATAGACACACACACACACTCACATACACCATGTATATATGTAGGTTTTTCGTTTTTCTTCTCCTTCTTCTTACGCTTAACCTTTCGCTATATCAGAGTATATTTTTTTTGGTCTCTTTTTTATTTCTAATAGAATTTTTTATTATTCTATCCTCTAGGGTCGAGTCGAGGTTCATCTCTTACAATGGCCAGTTCAACTACTAATGACTCCTTGCCTAGTTCAAATGGCAGTCCAGCACTAGTCAGCTATCATGCCAATGCTAGACGATCAATCCCGTCGAATCCACCGTGTTCTCAGAGTTCTTTAGTCAATGAACAGTTGTTAGAGGTCAGTCAATTTCCTGGGTTTGTTTGTTTGCTTTTTAATCATTTATAAAGGCATGTGTGTGTGTGTATGTATACAGAATACCTGGAGAAGTTACAGGTTAATTGTTTCTTTCTTGTTTTAAGCATTTGACTCTCAACTGTAGGATGAAAGAAGTAAGTGTTACACAATAAACTCTCCCATACAGTTGGCAATGGGACATACCAATTGTGTGAAGACTAATGATAGTAAATGGCTACTGAAACCTCAGTAGGTGGGACAAGGTTTGAACACATGACCTGATGGTTGGAAGTCAAGTGTCTACGCCACAGCTACACATCTATTCGATGGGTTTGAAGTCTAAAATTTATTCCAATTATTTGGCTTTGACAGTTAATGTATGCTTCATACTGTAAGTAGAAGGAGCTTTATAAAAAAAATGGTCTGTGAAGTTTTACACCGAAACTACAGAGCGCTATTTCTTGAGGTCCTTCTTGATTGATGACAATACAGCTTCCTTTACGATTGTTTTAGCGATGAAATGTACGCATTTCTGTATGAATAAGGGGAACAAGGGTTTTTCTTCAGGCGAGAATCATTCCCCTTTTTCGATGACTTTATCTTCAAGTTACAGATTTGTATTAAACAGACAGTTGGTGGTATATGATAATGATAAGCGTTATTATATTGAGAAATAACACTGTTCCATAAATGGTCATTGAATGATCATATCCTCGGTGTATTTTTCAATACTGAAACTCTCACTTGGAAGGTTTTACTGACATAACCTAGAGTAGAGTGCAGTTAAACATACGGTATGACATTGATAAGTTTTTCTGTCTAGGCATATATGTGCAATATGCCTACTGTCGAATGGATACCTACTTATCATCAAATGACGTTTTCCAGTGATGCTTCTTAACAACAAACATGAACAGTACAATTTTGGTGTCTTTTTGTTGACTGACTTTCAAATATACCTTATATCCTTTGTCTGTAGAATAAATTACACTATGCAACTCCTGTGATTCCAAGCTCCTCTCAATGCTGCTCCCCTGCCAGTCAAGTGTCTAGTCTTCTAAGACAGTCTACAATGGTCAGTAATCAAGTCTGTATTAATAATCAAGCCAACTCGTCTATTGGCTGTGAAGCAGCGAAAATCTCCCCATTGCAAATTCATCGTCGCTACCGCCCGCTCCTCCACCACCACCACCATTACCGGTATTCTCAATACCATCGTCAACAACCTTATCATCGTCATCTTATTCACCGATTGAAGTGAATCCTGCGAACTCTCCGTGTAAGATATTGCACTATTTCTCAATCTTTCTTTTTCAGTCTTTTTGGTTCGACTATGAACTTGTCTTTATTTATTTTTGCGGTTAGAGTTCAGCATTATTCCTTCCTATTTTATCTGTATGATTATCAATGAATGCTATTGTAGGCCACTAGAGTACACTGAATCAGTCTTTGTCTAATGCTCTATTCGGCTATTTGATTGATTTCAGTTACAGTTTAGTTACATAATCAAATCATTGAAGACCAGGATGTACTGGACATTTGTTTCATCATAGTTTAGAACTTTTCAGGAGCACACACCCATGACCCCAACGTGGATCGAACACAGTGCGAGTCCATTAGCCCCATTGGCGCACTGGAGTGGAGTCAGAAGTAGTCCATGAATTCTCGCTTCTGCTAATTAGCGTTCTGAATGATATCCTTTTTTGAGGTGTAAAAGGAGTAGTCATCAGGCTTTATTCAGGTCTACTTTCTGATTGGAACTCATCAGCATGGTGTGTGTTTTTGACTTTCAGGGCAACTTCTGCCTCATCGTTTTCTTTCTAAAGTATATCCCTTTCCACTGAAGTCGTGTAGGACTCATTGGTAAGCTTTCGTCCGACACAAGTCTTATCCAATAGATTTAGTTGACATATGACTGAGCATATTTCTCTAAGGGTTGGTTACTGTTTAAAATGCTACTTTATCTGATGATTTCACGTCAACTTCAAGTATAACCTCGGAAAGTAAAAAGTAAAGTAAAGATTTGTTTGAAATATAGATGAGAAATGTACTTCTTCTGTCGCCGATTAATCAGTCATCAATTAGTTATTAGCTTTTGTCAGTCAGGTTAGAGTTTAGATCAGCAGTGATGCGGCTACTAGTCTAGGTTAATTTGAACTAAGAGCAATCACTAGTTGCAGTTTTTATTCTCGTTTACAAATATGTCAGCTAAAAGAAAAAGCAACTATTGCATATATTAACAGTTTAATGAAATAGTCATAGGCAGACTGAGGAATGAATATTTGAAAGCCGTATAACCGATGGAAGAGGTGCAGGTATCGTACGTACGACTATCACTAGTGTTTTATTCAAAAGTGTTAAAAGCTCCGTGATATTTGGTTAGCGGATTTCAGCATGAGCTGACATTGGTTAGAGAACCATCTGAAAACCTGGGAGTACTGGACAGCTGTTTCGTCCTAGTTTAGGACTCCTCATTAGTATGCACCCACCAGGATTCGAACCTAGGACCTTCTGGTTACAAGGCGAGCTCGTCGACCATTAAGCCATTGGACCCGATCTAAGGGCCCATGAATTCTAACTTCTGTCAATTCACGACATAGCGCGACCACTAGCAAATGTCTTCGGCTAGTATTTGTCCCCACACCCGACCTGCTGCACCCTGCTGGTCACGACTTTTCACTGGAACCCCAGTTAACTACCTATCTGAATAGAGTGAAAACCACAAAAAACTCATTACCTCCCTATTCGTTGATAGATTTCATCCTAAATTTCATTGCAAACTATATTAGTTAAAGAAGTATTTGAGAGGAAAAAACATTAAGTGTATGTTTTGTCCTAGTCTTAACATATTCAGCAGTTGACATCTATGACCATTATACAAAGAACCGAGTTTAGCTACTACACTGGAAGATAATGTCACAGTTTCTATCCCGATTCCCCATACACTGTTATAGCAGTCAGACAGTGTCAACTTGGCTGACTTCACCAGTTACGATTTTCTGTCAGGGACTCACAGAAACCTTAATGAGCTGTGTCTGTGGATTAAGATAGATAGAGATGGCGGTCAATCGACTGGTCGCATTCATTCTTTTAATTACACTTTGAAGTACTTCAATGTCATGCGAATTAATTTTGAAAGATTCCACCTGGATACATCGAAACGCTTAAATTGATTGAATGAATTCAATGATGAAACTATTCAGTTAGTGAATCATTTGTGTGAATATAATTCAGTTATCTATTCTAAATTCTTTGTTTATTTTTTTGTTTTGTTCCATTATTCGTTTATTACTACTTTTTACTCCACCAACTTTTATGCTGTCTATATAGTTATTTTTAAACTAATTGTGAATAGAAAGAATGTTTCGTTGTTGGTAAATGAAATGAAATTAAAATTTTGTGTTTTTCTCTCATTTGTCTGCTTTTGGCTTTTATTTTGGCTGCACTGATCATATAGTTACGAGTGTATGACAGTAAACGTTGATTCGTTCCTTCTAGACGTCATTTTTTTGTCGTTGTTTATATATAACAGCCAGCCTAACTCGAATGTGCGTATGCATGTTTAATTGTTCATCATGACTTAACCGCATAACGATGAATTGTTGTTTTTTTTTCACTATCTAGTGTCTGGCAAAAAAAATACAATGACGCTATAATCGAATTGCTTGTTCTTTTTGTGTGGGGTTAATTGTGCTCGTCAGTGACTAACTTCGAAATCGACTTCTTGAAGTAATAGCCGGTAGACTGTCTCAAGGTCGAATGTCAGGACAGTTAGTCACCGATCACATTGAATAACAGTGATAGTCTATAGCAAGTATCGAAAATTTTTGGGATTCATGGGTTATTTTAATTCTAATCTAGGGGGTTAAATGAGTAGTAGTGTCCAGCTAGCTCCACTAAATGTCGGCGATTAGGTTCAATCTATGGTGCGGTTGTGAGATTTGGATGACTGACGAGTTTCATACTGGGACGAAACGGGTGTCGAATAAACCTCCCCTGAAATTATTTTTGATATGATATGTTTCCCTTCTTAAACCTAAGTAGTGTGAATAAAATGAGTCTTTACCACAATTTTAAATGGTTTGTCTGTCCTATTATCACTATCATTGATAAACTCATTTCCCATTCACCAATGACCATTGTTCATTTCTATTTCTTTGCTTTTTCATTTGTTTACAATTTTGTCAGGTTACAATGTTAAATCGAGTACAGCTGATTCAGTTTCGGTTGAAACAGCTAATCTTATGTCTGAATTATCTTCTCAATTAGCACAACTTGCTGCACGTTCAAATGACATCCACTATTCACCAGCAAAAACAAATCGTATTAGTACTGTGAATAATAATGAAAGTGATAAAGAATATGTAAAATATGATGAATTTGATTTACCGCCCCCACCGCCATCATCAATGTTCAATGATGAATTGTGTTGTTACACCGGTCAAATAAAACAAAACTACCCCCTAAATCAACAGCTAACCGATGTGACAGTGGCAATGACAGCAACGCCGTCGACTACAACTGGTACTGTTACTCCTGTTGTTGCATCTGGTACTCCTACAACTGCGACCAGCGCCACGAAAGATGATCAGGAAGAGGAGTCAAGTGAAAATTTATCACCATTTCTGTTAGCGCTTAAACAAAGTGTAAAGCAACGAGCCAATCGTTTAGCTAATCAAAACTCAATAGTTAACTGAGCTAGAAAATAAATAAAGAAGTTTAATTCTAATCTGTTTAAATATTGTTGATTATGTTTTTTAATACAATAAATAGGCTGATGAATTTTTAGATTATATTGTTGATTATATATAGATGCGCATCTATGTTCGTGTGTGTGTGTGTTTATGTACGGTGCACATGAGAAACTCTATAAGATGATAGTAATGAAATAGATGTTCACTTATACAACTATTGCATTATAGACACATTTTTGTTTTTTCAAAATGGATAAATTCTTTGATAGTGTTTTTTTTTTAAATTTTCTAGAAAAAATTGTATTCTTTCTTTTACGTTAACTGCCCCTAGTAGTATTTATGACAAATTTTGTCGACTCAGTGTGACCGGCTGGACTTATCTTGAGTTAACACTTGTTTGTGTGACTTGTGTCTTCCTTCTTAGCCTTTCTTTATATACACTCATCATCAGTATCAACGATTATTATCATTATTCATCAATTACCGTCATCATTTTTCGTATCCATGGGCCTTTTTCCTTCGCCTAGGGTGATTGTGGTTGGGGGGAGGGCGCAGGGACTTTTGTGTTACGATGAAGGCTTAAAATATGAATTTAGAAAGCGTTTGTCTTGTGACTATTTGTGTGTTTCTTGTTGACCTGTGTCTACTGTATTCTTGTTTGAGGTTAATTTTCTCAATTTCTCACATCTGTTCCACTGATACCTTTTTCGTCTTGTAATTGATAACTCCGCCAGTTAAATTTGTAAATAATGAAATAATAAACGAAATTATCAACTTTTTTTCTTAGATATTTAGACTTTCGGAAGTCTTCTCTCGTCATCATCCTCTTAGTCCTTGTTCCGTTACTACTGCTGCTAACGTTATTACGTAATACTTTGGTCTTATACTACATAACCCTTATGATATAACATTTTGTGTTTACTATTTCACTTAAGTACTATTATTCATTTTTGTTTTGCATAGAAAATGGTGTTTTGCTAGTTAGTGGTCGTATAGTCGGTGTTCTTTTCTAATTTTGTTATGTATTTTATTTGTCTATCGGTTTGTTCAACTTTTGACCTGTTAAAGACAATGGTATGTTTCAGCTCAAAACATCTCTGTCTCTTCTGTCACCTGTACCTCTGTTTACATTTAAAAAACCCTAACAGATGCATATGTATGTGGGAAGTGGTCATCAAATTGTGCATTACATTAACACACATTTATGTAAATTATGTGTCATGTGATCACATACACACACAAAACAGTGGTGCTAAATCCTCTTGGCATACTTGAATATATTTGGTGTCATCATTTATTTATTATTCATTTTTTCTCCTCTTCTCTTAAAGCATAGTACGTTTTTATTTTCTTCAAGGGGAAGAAATGTCTTTTAAGTAATATATATATATATATGTATGCATATATCCGTATTCATTCATGTATTGTTTCCGTCGCGAGTTTTTCATTTCCTCATACGGATGTTCAATCAACGCATCGACACACACGCACAGACACACAAATATGCGCCTTTCTCCTCTTTACCTGACATAAATTTCATCATGCTTGAACTTGCATTGTATTTAACATTAACATCATAATGTTCCCCTAATATTACTATTACTATTATTATTATTATTATTATTATAATTATGGGATTTAAATCGTCTACAGGGATGGGGGGAGTATTATTAATGGTATGTTACTCTATACTGTTGTTATTATTATTCGTCTTTTCTTTGTCCACTTAACTGTATGATCATGGATATGTACGTTTGGCTTTCGTAATAATTCTATACTGTTAAATCAAGTCTAAGAATAACAAGGACTATTATTATTACTATTATTATTATTATTACTATCATTGAAACTTTATAATGTTACTTTACTTACAGTTATTCAATGAGTTGTCCGCCCGGCCCCAGATCCTTCTTTCATCATCCTATACCCCATATATGCATCTTTTCGTATTGCGGATCTTTCTTTGGATCTATGCTTTTGTGTGTGTGTGTGCTTGTTGAACACATGTGCACCTGAGTGGGTAGACAACAAAAGGGTACGTTATCTTACTTCTTCACCTTTTTACCCACTGTCGAACATTTGAGTTTTATACCTTTAGCCTGGTGTTCATTTGATGTATTATATATACTATGATGTTTGACATATAAAACAAACAACAACAACAAATAAATTGCATTTTATTCATTATGATAAACACATAAATAAAAATAAATAAACAATCTTTTGTGTAAAGTATTTGTGTTCTACTTTTTTTTACCCTCAGTTTATTGTCACGATAAATAATGCATGAGTGCATACAATTCAAGTTGTGAGTGTATTATATTACGTATGATATGTAAGCTATGGAATTCAATCACCTTCTCCTGTTCCGTATCATATTCGATAAGTTTATCTGGTATAAAATCTGAGGTGGCATTAAGAAAAGTAGACAAAACTACTTCTTAGCAATCTAGAGAACAATGTGCATTGACACTGGAACACTAGAAGAAAGCGAAAAAAACAACTTGACACAAAAAAGAGCTGGCAGCTGTAAAAAGCTTGAGGAATGACGGAACATCGTAATTATATCAAATCGCGGAAAATACCCATCGGGACCTTAGAGATAAAAGAACAAGAAGTTCAGCAAAGATATCTTTTTGGTGATTTCATTCTCCAAAGCCGTACAATCGCATTTGTATACATAAGTTTTAAAAAAATAGGAATAATAATAATTTACTTTATTCCAAAACAGTACTTGTGATACAGAATGGAATTCTCAGCATTTTACTACAGTCTTACATCCAGTTAGTACATTAACAATAAATAAAATTCTACATAGTGTAAGGGTAATCTCGGTTGGTTTTGACAACAACATATTGGTATGTCGGTAGCAAAGCTAAAATTGAACAGTGTTTGAAGGGGTTAGAAAAGTAGATGGTAGCATATTTACTGGCGTAAGCGGTAACAAAAAGGTCTAGATATACAGAGTGTGAAAGAACGAAGAAGAATGTTTTAACAGAGTTTGTAAGGAAGAGAGGAACAAAAAAAGAAGAGGAAAAGGAAGAAAGAAAACGTTGTACCTATAAATGATATGAGTTGGAAAGAGGAGATCCAGTTGTTCTACTGGATACATAGATATAACTATTATTTATTTAATTCCACATAGTAACGAAGGTGATTAAGGGTCATACTAATTTTAACTCGATATTAAAGTTCAAGGGTGTGAATATTGGTTACAAGGGGCTTTGAACAAAATTATACAGGATTAGAAAATAGTTGTATCTTTAACTACTAAAGGTATGAATGGGATGCGTATGGGGACAAATGGAAAGAATAATATTTTAAAAAACGAAAATCAAGGAGATGAAAAAACGGGAACTAAGAAGACAAACCGAACTAGATTCATGTGCGTCGGTGGCACAGTGGTTGGGACTCTCGCCAACTATACACATGGTCCGAGGTTCGATCCAATGCCGACGCACATCTGATATCTATGGTCGGCCTGCGAAATTTGGGCTACCGATATCACATGCTGAAAATTCCATACTTGTACAAAAAATACGGTGTGGAATCAAGCTGTAAATCAAAAAAAAATGTAGAGGTTGAACCGGTTTCTTTTGAGCGCATAGCTTTGGTTTTTTGATGCCTATGGTGAGGTCTTCTGTAACACAAAGAAGTCGGAAACACACACTACCTTTCACAGATTTTTGTTTACTTTGTAAATGACTCTGAATGATGAATCTGTTGAGATGCTTTTAGTACGTGGAATTAAATAGTAATATTATCTATGTGAACTTATGTATATAAATGCCACTGTACAGCTTTTGAGAATGAAATCGCCGAAAGGATATGTTTGCTGAATTCCTTGTTCTTTTCTCTCTAACATCGTAATTACCAAAGCGTACAAGATTGATTAAGCAGAAATTACAGACAGATCAGGTACTCAAGGTAGTCCATGTTCCTATGATCTATCATATCCACCTCACTCATCGCTAAGGTTGGAAATCGGTTGTTTAGTCTCTGACTAACTCCTAAAGTGCACATGAATCAATCAGTCATTGGATTACAGCTGGTTCTGGTGTTTCATTACTATGTGCTGATCGACTTCATGATTTGTCAGTTTCTTTCGTTTCAGTAGGTCAACGTCTTAGGGTCATTGCAATATATATATATATATATATATATATATATATATATACATCGTTTAAGGTGAATCGGTATGGTGCTATTTAATTTCGCATGTAGTTAAATAATAAAACTGCACCCTCGTTATCTTCAAGGCCTATGTTCGGTTTCATTTGAGGTCGAGAGTAGGGAATCCAAAACAGCTCCAGTTTTCAAAGGTTCCCTAACTGATGCAGATGAGTGACAAAATTCACTTTTTCAATATTTGACTGATCAAACTAAATCCCGACAAAATCAATACTTGAAAACCAATCTGCTGCTCACTAGCGACTGGCCCTGTTCAGGCAGTTAACCTGGGTTTCCAGTGGGAAGCCATAATCAGTAGGGTACACCAGGTTGAAGACGAGGCAGTAACTCATCGAAGAAGATATTGCGAAATGGTCGTTCTACGTCGTGGAATGGCAGAAGTTAGTATACATTGCCCATCGGATCGGGTCTCAGTGGCTCAATGATCTACGAGCTCCCCTTGTGACTGGAAGGTCCCGGGATCGAACCCCAGTGGGTGCGTACTGGAAGAGTCCCAAACCGGGACGAAACAGTTGTTCAGTACTCCCAGGTTTTCCAATGGTTCTCTAACCAATGTTAGCTCATTATGAAATCCTCCATCCGATCAAACATGATCCCTACAAAATCAATACCAGAAGATTAACTTATACACGAAGATATTTAGGAATTATTCCATTTTCTAAACATCGAATGATGATTTATGCTGATGACATTTTGTGACAATCAGTCAGGCACAGTTATTAAATTTATTCAACGATATGTAAAAATTTTAATCTGTAATAATCACCAGTCAACAGAATAAAAATGTTAACTGAATGCAGTTATGATGACAT